ATTACATTAAACATTAACAATAGAATTCGACTAATAAAACTTATTTTAAAAAAAAACAAGGCATCAATTATCATTGATCCACAATATGCCGAATAATAATCTAATAAATATTCACTCAAAACAACTTATGCTTAATAAATTGATATTAACTCTTTTGAGTAAATACTAAAAGAAATATTATTCGATAATATACTAGATTTTACTGATTATCAATATAATCATTAGATCATCGAATTTTTCTTTAGAAAATTTCTCTGTGTATATATTTCATTTTTATATTATATTTATTAAAAAAAGACTTTCGAACATAGACAACTATATTTAAACTGATCATAAAACAAAAGTAAAAGGGTAAACAGTAAAACTAATAAAAGTAATTGATGATGACATGTTACTCTCATTCACGTCTATTAATTATTAGTCAATAAAATAATCTTAGATTGTTTGAGCAGATGAATTTTAATGATAAGACATCATTTCTAACTAATCTTTTTCTGACAAACATATAAACAATCTCAAATATATTATTCGATTTGAAATTCTATATTCAACCTTTTATTTTTCAAACATAAAACAATAAATTTGTTTTCTTATAGATTTAATTCAGTTAATATTATTTGTCTAATTTAATAATATTATGGTAAATAATATTATTTATTTTTTATCATTAAACTTTGTTCTCCTATTTTTTTTAGATCGATATTCATAAAAACCAGATCTTAGGAGAAAAAAGATAATTTTATTTGTTAATATAGAAACAATAAATATTTTAGAAATAAAAAAGAATAAAAAATATTTGTTGATTTGTTTAAGAGAAGGACGTATGTTCCTGATTTAATTCAAAAATACATTTATGTTATCTTTTGAAAGGGTATATATATATCAGATGTTTTCTCTCATCAGATTTCAATTTCTTATTCTTTTATTATTCGATAATATATTCATTGATAATAAATCTTACAAATTCATTGATTTTTTTTTTTGTTAATTTTCTTAGATTCCCAATAGATAATCGGACAGGTCAAACAATGTTGGTCAATCCAATTCTGTTCCTAACAATAATATTATTATGTGAAAGTACAGTAATCAAAGTTGATGTATCATCTATGAAAGGAAATTGTACAATAGAATATGATGAAGGAGAATTACATGAAGGTGATACAATTGAAGTTCATGGAAAATTCTACAAAGTCGAAGACTGTGAACTTCATCGAGCGTATCATGCATGTGGAACTCATATTTTATTTCTAATTAATATTGTTTGTCAAGCTCTTGAACAAAAACAAATTGATTTAAATCAAAAACGTTTTTCTCGATTTGTTAAACATAAATTATTAACAGAAGCTTGTTGTCAAAGTGTTTGTACTGTTTTAGAAATGACACGTTATTGTCCTTAATATCGATAAATAAACAAGATTATTTAATTTTTGTCTTTTTTTCTCTGCTTTATATTTAGCTGATTACTTTTTAAATGTTCTATAGATATATTTTTATTGATATTATCGAGAAAAAAAAACTCATCTCTATGATTATGTAGAATTCTTCATATTATAGTTTGAATAATTATTGTTTTTCAATAAAAATAAAATTTATCTTTAATAATAAAGTAGATTTTTTTTGCTTTATTTATTCGACATTTTATCTTTAGAATTTTATTTTAAATCTAAAATATATTTTTATAAAATTATATTGAATTAAATAAAATTCATATTAATAGAATATATTTC